CAGAGAAAAATGTGTGTTTCGTAATCAACAGCAGAGAGAGAGAGAGAGAGAGAGAGAGATTTAATAAATTATTTTTGCATTTCGTTAATACAATACATACTAAATATAAAGGGAGAGAAAAAATACAGACAAAAACTACTATATTATTAATAATCGCTGAGAGAATAGTCAATACATAATAATAATGACAGTAAAAAACTGTTGTAATAATAGTAATAAAGAAAAATAACATACTTTTGTGCCGTACATTGTAATCGTAAAGCATCGTGGTTTATATAATTGCATTGACTCTCTCTCCCTCCCTCCCTCCTCTTAATAAACAACTGAATATTTGATGAAAAGATATTTTCGTTTAAATATTTTTTAAGCGTTTAATCGCATAATAATAAGTCATTTCAATATCCATTAAAAACAAAGCAACAAAAAAATACAATTATATTTTATGTTGTTTTGCGGTATTTGTTATTTATGTGGTTTGTTATACCAATGGGTATTAACCCTGTTGCAAATGATAAGCAAATTTGAAAATTGGCCCTAAATGATTTATTATGTATATTTTTGTATAAAATATTATTTATATAATTGTGTTATTATTTAATTAAAATTTTACAAAACTGTTTTTTTGTTTAGACGCGTTTAAAACTCAGCCAATAAATTGTGTGCAGACAATGCATTTTGAATACAAATCACACGCAAAAACTATTATACATTTCCGTTTGGTCTATAATTAATGCCATAGTTTTGCTGTGAAATGACTTTTTTGTTGTCCATATGTATGCGTGTTGTGTGGGGACGGGTATGTCGTCTATGTCTAGGCCTAGACTCTGGGGTTTGTTAAGCAAAATATAATTGAGAGAGAGAGAGAGAGAGAGAGAGAGATTGGAAATGGATTTTAAAATTTAATTCAAATTTACATTTTTCAAAAATAGTTTTCCCAATAGTTTTCGGTGTTTTATATACCAAAACAAAATGTGAAATATATTTTTTATTACACATAACCAGTAAATGTATAATATTAGGGGTAATAATAAAAAACATTCATTCATTTTACATCTCTCTCCCTCTCTCTCTCTCTTTCTCTCTCTCTCTAAATACATTAGAATTATTATTTAATATAGTTAATATTACCATAATTAAATAGAAAAAACAGTATTGCAAATACATTTCTCATAGATGGTAGCATATATTTGATAAATTATTCAACTAAATATTGTGGATTGTTAAACTGTCCCAGATTATAGATCACTCCGCCGTCGACCACCAGATTAATGCCGGTTATATTGCGAGCATCGGTAGAGGCCAGGAATGCCACCGCTTTGGCCACATCCAGGGGCTGATTGTATTGTCTGAGCGGTGCTATGCGTTCAGTTAACTCCATATACTTGTCCTTATCGGCTCTCACTTGTGTTATACCGGGGCTATTATTTAATAAGCAAAGTAATTAACTAGATATATTAAAATAACAACATATTAACATGATAATTTACTTAACAGTGTTCACTCGTATGCCTTTGGGGCCCAACTGTATGGCCAGCACACGGCTCAGCATATCTAAGGCCGCTTTGCTCAGTGTATACGGTATGGAGAATGGGGTCTATTTATTGAATAACAATGTTGTTTATAATTAACCAAGGTAAATTTTATTTTAACTATTATATTCCTTACCGGTTCTATACCAGCGAGTGATGAAAGGTTAATAATTGTGCCTTTACTGGCCTCCAGGTGCGGAACGGCCAGTTGTGTCAGCTCGAGTACAGCCCTCACGTTCAGCGCAATGGCATCGTTAAAGTGTGTGATTAGATTGGGATCCCATATGTCTGTGAAGGGAAACAGTGCCGGACAGTTGACCAACACATCCAGTCGGCTAAACGTGGTGATTGTGGTGGCGATCAAGTTTTTTATATCATCTTGTTTAACTAAATCTGCCACCACTTCCAACGGCTATACATAATTATATGACATGTAATTTTAAGTTATTGTGTTATTAATTATTTAAATTAGTTTATCATAATGATAACTTTGAAACAACTAGATTATTAGCTTGTTTATAATTTTTTTAAATTACCTTTAGCTTTTTAGGTGACAATTGTTGACACTCTTCGGCCACGCTATGAATCCGCGACACATCCCTACCGGTGACCACGACGTGGGCGCCCAATGCGGACAGTAGTTTGACAATACCAGAGCCAATGCCCGAACTCGATCCGGTGACCATGGCCACTTTGCCCGCAAAATTACGACCCTGTGTGGCCACTCCTCTATACTCATCAACATTTACCGCTATGTTTGCCATTAAAAGTAATGTTTGACAAATATTGTCACTATATTATTGTATAATATCAAAATTGTTGTTTATAACAACTTGTTATGATTTCTTATTGAATCGGTTGCTGTTTATATATCCTATTTTACTTTGTAACGTATACAATGTTAAGTTCAAGTTTATTTATAAAATGCTCCGAATGCACCCGTAATCATTTTTCAGTGCAACTAATGATTGTCCTTGATACGTGCAATCATTACATACAGTGTGTAATGAATATTATCAATCCAATACTACAGTACTATATAACTTGTTATAAGCATAATATAATATTACAGCATTTCCATAATATCGTGTTAAACATATCAACAACATTTTGATTTCAACTATTATTTCAACAAAGATTTAATTTCAATGAAAAAATAAGAGTAATTTTTGTAATAACAAAAATCTCAAAATACTTATGATAATTATGTTTCAAATATTTGTTAATTGACATTATTATTAATAGTCTATTTTAATGATAGACATTATTCGTATTGAATATGTATTTGCTATACATCTCATCGATGTCTATGCAAATGCCTAAACATACATGTACATATTTAAATTATCTCACCATTAATTTACTCATTAGTAAATTGCTTGACGTTTAAAAAAATGAACGGCATTTTTGCCCAAAAAAATAACTAAACAAACATTTTTTGACAAATATTAATTGATTGAAAGCAAATTCTCTCTCTCTCTCTCTCTCTCCCTTTATATTTAGTATGTATTGTATTAACGAAATGCAAAAATAATTT